TGTTGCACAAACGGATTCGGCGCTTCACACAAGTATTTCATGGGCACCGTAGGCTGACCCGTGCATTAGACTCGAATATGGCGAGAGACTCGTTCAAAACATTCATCCCTCTGAGTGTGGATAACGGAGCTCGTTCATGTATCATTTTCGATTTCTTCGACTTGATGTCTGCAATTGCCGCCCACAGCAAGATGAATGGATTGGGCGGACGGAAATTGTCTCGGACGGCTGCATGGTGGGCGTTCGAACACAAGGACACAGGCAGTGGCTTCGAAGGTGGTTACAAAGCATGGGCAAGGTGAGCAAAACTACTACGAGGGTCGAGCAACACTAACATGCTTCAGCGCCGCTGATGCTACGAGCCATTTGTTCTTCGCCTACCTGCGATCTTTGGCCCCGCAAAAGCAGACGCAGGGCTCCATCTCGCTGCTGCCAATGTCTCTTCAAAAACTGCTTCAGGAAACCGAGTATCCTCCCCAGAAGCCATCGTTGATGCAGTCCTCTACGTACAGGGTCGTCATGATCGTGGACACCGTTTCGCCGGGCCCCTTTGCGCTACTCCGACGAGCCAACCACTTCCAGTACCGTGATGAGGACCAAGCTTTGCGCGAGTTCTCCGAGTACGAGGATCCTGTCAAGGCACTGACGGAAGAATGCCGTCGCGTCTTGAAGTCGATCTCCTCCGCCAATCAGTCTCAAGTTTCCAGCTCAAAACACTCGACGAGTTTGCGCGACGCATCCTGGTCACGCTTCGAAGACATTGGTTTCACCAGCGCTCTCGAGGACAACGACGATGACGATGACCAAGAGGCGGCAGCCGCGGCTCGTAAACCCCAGGGCTTGAGAACCACACCTGCGGCTGGCAACATGGGCTTAGGACGGCCGACTACACCTTCCTGGGCCGATTTCCTTTCTTCTGGCTTTGTGGATGACAACCCAAACAACCCGAATATGCTGCTGCCGCCCGATAAGCAGTTGCCGCCCATCGAAACAGCCCAACGCCAACGGAGCTCCCAATCTCACAACCCACGCCTGGAGTCCGATCGTCTCGAGCCTGGCGAGCTAGCAAGCATTGCCCGTTTTGACCTCGACGAGAGCTTCTGGTGGGTTTGGATGAGCAGTCTTGCACCCGAAGAGACTCCTGAGAGAAAGTCTGCGTTTGGCCGCTGCGCCGTGATTGAGACGAGCATTAAACGTGGTCGATGGCTCGTCATGGAGGAGATGGTTGCTGGTGCCGCCCCGGAGCCCCAGGAGGGAGCCTACATTGCCGAAAAGAAGGGATTCTTCAGCTGGACAAGACGCAACAAGGGCGTCAACCGCCGCAAATCAACCGGCAAGCATACTCTCGAGAAGGGCAACAAGAAGACAGATCCCAATGTCAGCAAATCGAGCATCGGTCCCGATCAACAGGCTCGGATTCAAGCTGCTGCTCAACAGCTCCAGGCACGCCAGCAGCAAGAGAAGCAACAGCAAATTTTGCAGGCTCGCCGAGGCCGGAATGATGAGGCGGCGAGAGAGAAGACCACCAGCGTCTTCACCCTCCAGCCGGAAATCATGCGTCAGGCGTCTCCAGCGATGAAATGGGCGAACAAGTACGATAAGGAGGCGATCCGGGAGGCCTACCTGGCGAACAACACTGCTGGGCGCGGTATCGGTGTTTCCACCATGCAAAGGAAGGACAGTCAAGGCCACAACGAATACTCAAACGGCAACACCAACGGAGCCGAGCTTCGCCCTGAAGTCCCGGCCAAGTCGCCCTCGCTGCAACCGCAGCCCTCGCCATTGACCCAGAGCTCACCAGGTTTCCCTCGTTCGCCATCCCCGCTCCCCCCAAGCGCGCAAGATGACGAACCCCGCGTTCCATCCGAGAAGGAATCAGAGGCTCCGAGTGGCCTGCACCCAACCGACCGACTCGAGGAGGGCCGCAGTTCCCCGATGCCCCCACCGAAGGACTCATACGACCAGGGACGGGAGAACATGTTCACCCCTGAACCGGACACCAGCCCGAAGGACAAAAAGTCCAAGAAGCTCCACAAGGAGAAGACCGGTGGAGGTGGACTTCGCAAGCTCTTTGGCCGTAACAAGAACCGGAACTCGAAACTGCCTGAGAACGCCGCTGCAGATTTGAACGGTATGCTCCAGCGCGAGACAGCAACTCCCGAGCCGCCAAAGCTTGCTCCTTCTCCTGTTCCCCAACCCGCTGCTTCAGAGTCCAACCTCCCCACACCAACACCTGCAGAGGCTTACATCACACCAATGGAGACTCCTCAACCTGCCCCAGTTGAGACCCAAGCTCACGAGCCGCAGTACGAGCCGTCCGTTGATGAATCCCTCTCCCGCGTCGATACCGACGATGCCAACGAGGCTCGGCACGAATTCTCGCGGTTTGACCAGGGCCCTCTGCAAGAGCAGCCTGCTTTTGTCCCTGACGACGACTCCGAGGATGCTGTTCCGCCCCCTATCGCGAGACGTGCGAAGACCCCCGAACCTCCTGCGGATAACTCGTCCGCTCCGGTGTCTCCCGAGGATGGCCCCAGATCGCCGCCCGCAGTCGACCGATGGGCCCAGATCCGCAAGAACGCTGCGGAGCGCGCAGCTCAACGCCAGAGCGAAGAACAGAGCCGCGGCGGATACAGCAAGACTACCGACGATGGCGACGACACAAGTGGGGAAGAGAGTAAGCCTTACCTTGAAACTAGAAATCTTCGCTGTCCAAGATCTGACCATGTATAGCAATCGAATCCCGCGTAGCACGTATCAAGGCGCGTGTTGCTGAACTGACTGGCAACATGGAGAACTCCCAAGGTCCTCCCTTGACGGGCGCCCGAACCCCTCCCGTCCGCCGTTAAAGATTGATGGACGGCATTTGCACCTCGCGATTTGAAATTCAGATTCTCTGCGTATGTTTCGAATGATTGCAGCATCCAGCATCATTACGACTGAAAAAGCGCCACCTTTTTCTTCCGGTCTCTAATTCTTCGAGATTCAATCGTCTCCGATTTTCAGATCCCTGGCCGGATCTAAACCCCCTTTTTCTGTCATTAGTCCCTAATACCTTTCTGCCGTACCTTTTCGTTGCGGGTTGTTACAGAATAAGATGATACCACTAGAATAGCAAGCCGATTACGCACAATGTCAATGGCAGATTTGATCCTTGAGTATAGGAACTGTTGTGAATTTTATTATCCAGTGAGAAAAGAAAGGAGCACCACATTATTTGTAATTGCCGTAAAGCCGAACCAACGTATATTCATTTGCCCCGATATTTTTTTTAGAGCTTACCCGGAACCCACATCTCACATACCATAGCCTTCACCCGTCGTCATCTCTCCCTCAACGAGTCCGGGACTACCCTCCGCCGTCGGTCACGATTTGAAATCTTAGTCACTCATCTCATTATCAGCATCAAACTGTTCCTCCATCTCAGCCTCGTCATCAGTAAAGTCGGACGAGCCGCATTTCATCCAACGGGCCGCCACCGGGTCGATGGTGAGCCCATTGCAGCCTTCAAAGGGCGTCCAGACGAAGGCGCCTTTGATCTTGATGAGGACGTGCGAGAAGGGGACGTGGCCGCCGTCCAGGACTGATTTGCAGTAGGTGAGGGAGACTACCTTGAGGCGGTCGCATAGGTTGCAGATGAATTGTTAGATGTTGCACATTTTTGATGGGCGGGGTGAAGTCGTGGGTTTGGTTTCGGCGCTGTTCCTTTCTTTTTGAGTTTTTTTGAAGCCGGGTGTTGAGCGGAGTGAGATTCTGAAGGTTGAGATGGGTGGTGGATGATATCTTTTCAACGACAGGAATGAAATGGCTTGTGCATTATATACGCTAGAGACTTTGATACGAGCTTTGTGACTGTAGTGATGTCGGTCATGAAGAGTCTGGATCATGCCTAACGACTGCAGAGACTTCTAGATATGCCCGTTGTTGTCGGTAACAAGTTGCGAGACTAGAGATGAGTTAAAGAAAAGACAAAGGGTTATGTCGAAGGCTATTGTTTCGATTCAAACTGTCTAGGTAAAATGAAAGCTGCCGGGACGAACTTCAAGACATGATGTGTAGGATTCCTTATGTCAGTCGGCCTCGTCTTATTATCAATGGATTTTATGCTTTGGCACTTATATGAGTTTTCACAAGGAGCCACTTCGCCTGAGCATTGGAAAGCGAGACCAAGACCACTTGGGAAGGCTCAAGGCTAAACAGCCGAAAATAATTCACTCTGTTTTATCTAAGATGCGGCTGATCGAACCTCACAGGGTTCAAAACCCAAGGCGAAGTATGAGAAACTTGACAAGGGAGGCAGCTGCGGCAGTGCCGACCAAAAAGGCCAGAGAGCATCTTTCCTCCGCCAAAGATTCAACTTATTTACGTCTCTTATTTTTTTCTTTTCTTCTTTCTATAAGAAATGTGAGCTTGGATTGATCAATTTTCAGTTCCAGTAGAGCTTCAATGTTTCTAGAGCACTCCCACAGGCGAAAGCAATTCCCCAAATAGCGTGAGTATCGAGCGAAAATTCCAGTACATCTCGTCTATTCGAATGCAAGCCCACGCCAGTGACGAGTTCGTCCCTTGAACCCATTTCACAGAAAGAGCCAATCATCGACTATCCCGGTTGAGAATCTCTACAACTGCTGCTTTACCACGCTTACCTCGGAGATGGGCTGCGTTCTGGTTTCCTAATGCGTTCGCAGACCCATGCGGTTGGAAGCACAAACATTCTCCACCAGCGGCACCTTGCCACCAACGTGCATAATTGTCTCCCAACCGAGAAAGAGGGGGGCACGGGGGTAAACAACTTATCATCTTTCGTTTTTTCATCGGAAAGAGAGAAAGAGGAGGGGGAAGGAGGAGGGGTGATAAACGGGGACCGCTGCCACTCTCTTGGGTTCGTCATCCCCTACGTCCCTTTTATGTTGTTTCCCCCCCATCAGACTCCTTCAAAGAGTTGAGAGAGAGAGAGAGATATACATATTCGCCAATTTCATACTTGATCAGCCGCAGTCATGTCTACTACCGATCAAGAGCAGCAACCTGTTGCCAACGACGGTCCTGTCATTGTCGCTGATGATTTTGTGAGTTGTTCATTTATAGCCGGGTTCTTATTCCCTCTCCACTTTGATCACTCACCTTCCATGAAATCGCAAGTATCCTCATAACGTGTTACTTTAGAGCGCTGATGACAGCTCATCGGACCGGGCGACTGTAAGTATCCCCGCGTAATGCCGATCACGCCATAGACTTTTGATGTTTATACTGATCATCGGCGCCTCAGAGCGTCGCATCTTCAAGCACTAGCTTGGCAAGCTCGATCCTCAACCACCGTATCGAGAACGGCAGAACCTACCACCGATACAAAGACGGCCGTGAGTATCCCACTCACCGCATAGCCTTGGGCTCTCCCCGTGTCCACTTCGTCCGCTCACATGAACATAGAATACAGCTACCCTAACGATGAGAAGGAGGCCGATAGGCTAGGTAAGTTGTGATGAAAAAGACATCTCAACGTACTCTGCTTGACCTAGGTAACTAACGCATCACAGATCTGCAGCACAACGTCTTCCTCCTGACCCTCGACTATAGGCTCGGTCTCGCGCCCATCGCCCAGCCTGAGGCTAAGGTAGGCCGCGTGCTCGACGTGGGTACCGGCACTGGACTCTGGTGCGTTGAATTCGGCGATGAACATCCCGACGCCGAGGTATATCTCTGCTCTTGCTCCTTTGATCCAGTCTGCGGCTGTGGAGACATCCGTGAGGTTTGCTGATTTGCTGCCCTTCAGGTTGTTGGTATCGATCTGTCTCCCGCGCAAACTCAATTGTATGAACCGTGTTCACCTCTCTTCTCAAATAGGCGGTGGTCGGTCGTACTAATGTTCTCTTGTCTAGCGTACCGCCCAACGTCAAATTCGAGGTTGACGACCTCGAAGAGCCTTGGACATACCACACCAAGTTTGACTACATCCACACCCGCGCAATGACCTCAAGCATCTCCGACTGGAAGAGATTCTTCAAACAATCATACGAGTAAAGCTGCAGCTCATAGTTTATCTAACCCCCCTTCAGTTTGAAATTCACTAACCAAATCACACCCCGATAGCTTCCTCGAACCAGGCGGCTTCCTCGAGCTTCAAGAAGGCCATATGCGCCCCGAATGCGACGACGGCACCCTCAAGCCCGACAGCCCCCTAATCGAATGGGTCGACCGCCTCGAAGAGGCCTGCAACATCTTTGGCCGTCCCTTTGTCGACTGCCCCGGTCTCAAGCCCCTCCTTGAAGAAGTCGGCTTCGAGGACGTCGTCGTCACAAAGTACAAGTGGCCGCTCAACGCGTGGCCCAAGGACCCGCACTATCGCGAGCTCGGTATCTGGACGCTCGAGAATATGCTCGAGGGGCTCGAGGCGTGGAGCATGGCGCCGTTCACGCGGGCGCTCGAATGGACAATGGAGGAGGTGAATGTGTTTCTGATTGGGGTGAGGAACGAGTTGAAGAATAAGAATATGCATGGGTATATACCTGTGTAAGTTTGATGTCCGACTTCTAGGCGTGCTTGACGACACTGCTAATAGAAACTTGCCAGGTACATCATTCACGCGAGAAAGCCGCTCAAAGAGACTGAGGAAAATGAAGAAGCATCTTGAGAGTGATGAGATGGTCTAGTTCTATACTAGTTTTGGATGGGCTTTCAGGGGCGGCGAATTGTCAACCTATAAGTAGTAGCTAACTGACGATATTCATGTTGGAGACTGTGATGCGGCACGAGTTCCACGTGGCACGTAAATTAATTCTCATTCGACATCTTTGATACAAGGTTCAATGTCATTCGCCTTTGTCCACTTGTCACTGCGATGATCCCAGAGAATCAGGCTGGAAGTGCAATCTCCTTCTAAACCCCTTCCAGTATCTAATAGGTATGATGTGAAAAATGTTGAGAAGCATACACCATTATGTTCTCGATTCAATGCCAAGCCAAGGGAGTAATAGCAATCGTAAGGCTATAAATTGAGGACTCACGCTGGCTGCTCCAAAGCTTGCAACGGGACCTGGCACCCTTTACAGCCCCCCAACTAGTGTGAGCGTGCGTTGAACAGCTTCGAGCTGAGAACCGGCATGACAAAGTGAAAACGAGAACCACATGCGGTAGCCCGGGTCATGTCAGGGCAATTACGGTCATAAGCATCACGTAAACCTTGTGCCATCAAAGTGAACAGAGAGTTTGGAGTTCCATTGAATCCAAGAGACTACAACATGTATCTATGAATACATTCCCTAGATGTGAGAAAAATGCCCAAATTCAAAAAAAAGCGCGCCAATGCGCACCCGTTACTCCGGTTATCACTGTTTTACCCAAAGCCAAGATTCCGTCGTGCGCTCGTCGTAGATGATCGTCTCAAAATTTACAACTCCAAACTCGGCGTCTGGCCCTTGACGCGGCCAATCACCTGCTGTGGTGCGTACTTGGGGATAACCTCGTCGTCGTGCAGCATTTCAAACTCCTCGGTGGCGTCGCGTCCCATGAAGTTCATGATAGCCTGGGGTCCACCGGGGTGCTCCTCGAGCCAGTTTGAGAGATCCATCACAACGCCCTTGACGACGACCCACAGGTCCTCCTTGGTGTTGTGCTTGGCAACCTCCTCCATAGAGAACTCCTTCTCGGGAACAGAGAACTCCTTGGGGTTGTTGGGCTTGGAAGCCTTCTGGCCGTCCGCCTTCTCGGGCGTGGGGCCGGCGGCCGATGTGGTCTGCTGGGCAGGGATACCCTGGCCGCCGGAGCCACCACCGTTGTTCCAGTCGATCGTGACGCGACCAGGCTGGGCGGGGTCCAGATGCAGTGAGATCTGGCCAAGACGGGAGGTAGCACCCCCTACGCCGTTAAGGGCCTGCTGGAAGAGGTAGTTGCTAGCGGTATCACCGGCAACACGGCCATAGACGACACAGCCAAGCAGGGAAGAACCGCCGAGACGATTGGCACCGTGAACACCACCGGCAAGCTCACCGCAGGCGAACAGACCGTCGAAGGGCTTCTGCTCGCTGTTCAAGACCTGGGCCTTGTCGTTGATCTCGATACCACCCATGGTGAAGTGGAGAACAGGCTCCATCAGCGCGACGTGGAAGTCATCGTTGATGTCGACGGGCAGGTTGTGGAAGAACTTCTTGCCCCAAGGGTCCTTCTGCTTGCCATCGGCAATGGCGTTGTAGGTGGTGAAGGTCTTCTGGAGGTGGTCGGGGGAGCAGCCAATCTCCTTGGCCAGCTCGGCACCGGTCATCTTCTTCATCAGACCACGGCCAGAGTAGTGGCGAGTGTGGAAGTCAAGGACCTTAGAGGCCTTGGAGTTGAGGATGAGTCTGATGGGGAACTTGTTCTTGTCCTTCTCCTTCCACATCATGCCGGAGACATAGTCACGGTGGCCAAGCTCGTCGCAGAAACGGTTACCGTCGGCGTTGAGAAGGAGACCACCCTCGCCACGAAGGGCCTCAGCGGCCAAGAACTTCCACTTGGAGCTGGGGTCCTTGGGATCAACCAGACCGGTAGGGTGGACCTGGACCTTGTCCATGTCGATACCGTTACCGCCGATGGCCATGACCATCTTCTGACCGTCACCAGTGGCGTGGGTGCCGTTGGTGGTGGCAAGACCGAAGGTATCGGGACGGTGCTTCTTGAGAAGGGAGGTCTCGCCAAAGTCGGCAGCGTAACCACCGGTGGCAAGAATGACGGGTCCGTCAACCTTTTGCTCCTCGCCGTTGAACTCGTATGAAACACCAGTGATGGTGTTGCCGTCCTTGTTCAGGCCGGTAACGCGGGCCTTCTTGATGATCTCGACACGCTCAGGCTCGGTCTCGGCGAGTTCCTCGAGTCTCTGCATGAGGGCGTACGTGATGGCCATACCCGGGAACTTGGCATCGTGACCACGGTGGGTACGGGGCTGGGAGTGACCTCTGCAGGGTAGGTTAGAACCTGAGAAAACCTCGACATTGGGCTTCTGCGATTGACTTACCCTAACCGCGAAACGAGAGTAAGGTCCAGGTTGAAGACATCCTGAAGCCATTCGACGGCAGCAGCGGACTTGTAGGTAAGGACCTTGATGAGGTCGGGGCGGGCCTTGTCACGGGCAGACTTGAGGGTATCATCATAAAACTGCTTGACGCTGTCGGCAATTCCGGTGTCGACCTGTGTCCGCGTCAAGGCACCGTTGATGCCAGAGGTGGCCTTTGTGGAGTTGCCTCCGAAGAAGCCTGTAGGGTAGGAGCGTGAGCTTTGCGACAATCACAAGCAGCGTGGTAGTAATGGGTTTGTTGACTTACCCTGCTTGTCGAGAACGACAACGTTGCCTCCTGCGAGGTAGATGGTGTGCGCGGCACTCAAGCCGGACACTGGCAGAACGGATTAGCATGTGAGCAGGTAAGACGAGGCCGAGATTGGCCGCGGCAGAGAGAGTGGTAAGACTGAGAGAGGTGGGAGTAGGAAGGGGTTGAGGTAACTTACGACCACCACCAACGACGATAACTCTGGGTGCCATTTTGATTGGTGTGATGGTATTGATGCGCTCCAAAGGACAGGATGGAGAACAAACAAAGAAGATGGGGAAGAGAAAAGTTGGTGGGGGAGGAAAAGAGTTTGGATGGAGAGGTTTAAGAAGAAAACGAGAAGAGGAGCGGTGCCTTTCGTCTTGTTGCTACGCCGAGGGAAGATGGGGACAAAGGCACAAGGACGACGCGGGTCTGGGGCCGAAGGCAGGTGCAGGTGGTAGTGGTTGGTATCCGCTCCGCAAGGGACCTGGGGGGGTATACTTCGTACCGTATGGTACGGTACAGTGGTACAGTGGGACATACCTTACGGAGACGACTCGTTCTGCTTGCGTGAGGTAGTGCGCGCAGATGGGAGGAGTGGCAGAGAGGTCGCTGACACGGCGATTCGTGAGCCGAGGTCGAAGCGCCTGTGGGAAAAGCAGAAACCAGGGGGGGCAACTTCGCACTGGGGACTTCCATGGCACACGAGTCCACGACTGGGCTTGCCCGCGGTGCTAGTGAGTTTTGGGCCGAGTTTGGGTCAGAGACTCATGGTTGGGGGTCGGGGAAAGGGACGGTCTGGGGCCCTGGGGGAGGAGAATTGGCGTCACTAAACGGGGGAGGCAGATGAACGTACCAGTAAGAATGAGCCTTTTGGTCAAGCGGTGGCAGTGGTCCGAGGGACAATGGGACACCTTTTTTTCTTCTTAGGTACAGGTGTGGGGAAGCCGAGAGCGACGAGAGAGCTGGAATCTCAATTGAGTCTTCTCTTCCATGTGCAGTTTATTTCCCCAATTGCGCATCGTGAAAAAAGTTCCCTCCATGATCGAGGTGTTTACTACGAACAGGCAATTGCGTCCGGTCCGCGGAGGGTATTGCAACTGAATTGCTCCTCTGGCATTGACAGACCCCAGACACTTGTTGGCTTCTCGCAGTAATTCTGGCCGAGACTAGGCCCGCGTTCGCTTTCCTCGGTGGTGGACCGCGACCTGCAAAACTGGGGGAAACTGTGGGGGATGTTCTAAAGTCTCGAATCCCCGTCTGTTACTGACCACCGTTTACCGAACTGACCAACGGAAGAGGGGGCATTACACAGTAAACATTGTTGAAGCCGTTTGACCCAAAAACCTCAAAAGATGCACTTGAGGCTCTCTCGAGAAGGGATGACAGACCGGTTTACCTGCCACGCCTGCACCAGCCTTAGCTCCAACTGCTCTTGTGTGGACTTTCGCGAGTCAAATTGTTGGAGTAAGCTGCCGCAGAAAAGGCCATGAAGAATTTTGTGACAGTTTCAGGACTTTTTCGAGCTGTCCATCGTTTGCCTCTGACATGTGAAGGGCCGCTCACTTACCACTTCCACTCAAGGTGCATCCAAGGTCACGGGCTTACCCTCGTGCTTGAGCTCATGCAGCTGACTGAACCTCGAACCGCCTTGCTACCCGTCTGAGAGGCTACCAAACTAAACGTCTGCCGTCAAATCTCTAACAAGCAAACTGGCGTTGCCTTCCCGCCCCCACAACCTTGGGTGCGTACCACATGCCTCGTGTCAACAAGGTGAACGGGTAATCGACATCTCTCACGGGCATAAACCCGCCTGCGAGGCCCCATGCCATGGGACACGTTCCAAAACCCTTCTCCAGCCCCTTCTGCCCCTCAAGACTGTGCGGCTGCATCGAGCCTGCGGCTGGTCGAGCGAAGTTCTCAAGGCGCCGTCGAATCTTCACGAGTGAAGCTACGTGAAATAGGTGGAGGCATAGCCACCACATACAGTGCTGCGTACGGTAGTGTAGTCTCACTTGCCCCCCTCCCACCTAATCCCCCACACAAGAGGTGTAGGTCAGATGATTGACCGGTCCGGAACTTTTAGCACCTGACCGAGGATCTACTCGCATTGCCGTCCCCTCTTTTCCCTTGCCGCTGCTGGGCGACCACTTTCGGCCTGCATTCCAGTCCAGCTTGTTCCTCCGCACTCGTACGAATAGTCAGATACACAGTAGTAGTACAGTACAAATTCCCTTCTCTCACGGGCCATTTCCGGCTCCAAGGGCTTCTTTTTTGGAGTCGTCCTTGGGGGATGGGCTGGGCTGACTGGGCTGGTCTGGGGAACCCAGGCTGTACATCTTTTTCGCATGTGAAAGGGGGCATTCTTGGGGAAAAGCGGCAGGACGGAGCAAAAGCCTAGATGTGTCAGGTGCTCAACTTCTTTGACCGTAAAACCCCCCCATACAGAAACTTGCCACCTATCCCATCGACTTGGTTTCAATTCAACCTTTCATGATTCATGAGAAGCTTTCTTGATTCCTGAGGATATTAAAAACTAAACTATTGGTACAATAGGTAGTGATGGCCTTGCATCGTTTTTTTGTCGCTGATTGCTGAGGCATAGGATTCTCTTAGCCAGTCTTTCTCTTTCAAATGCAGCAATAATTCCCGACTGCCGTTTCGCGCATCCTCACCTCAACTCACCTGCGCCAGAAAGAAACCCGCGGGTTGAAAAAAGTGTGGGGAACGACTGCCCGTCTCCGCAATCGCTCCCCTTCTGTAAGACAAAAGAGGCCCCGGAGCCTCAGAGGATACAGTAGAGAATACCTAAAGATATTGGACTGCCGTCTTCGGTGTATCTCGGCGAGTGCGCTTATCCGTCGGGAATGCAGGAACCAAAGGTAGAACTTGCTTCAGCATCGTGAAGCCATCTTCGGAGAGCAAGCGTTTTGCGACTTGCCTCGTCAATCAAGCATCACGTGGTGGGAGGCGGACGCATTTTTGCTGCTGGTTTGGTACGTCTTACAGCGAACAAGGTGTTCCTGCTGACGGAGAGCACCGCTGCCCTGCGCAGCATCGAGGCATGGGTGATGTCATCCTATCATGCAGCCAATCGCCGCCCGTACATTTACAAAAATCTGGTCCCGTGGGGAATATCCAAGGCTGCAAAGCCGCATCCGACCTGAAAGTGACGCGCGCCATCAGTGTAGTAGTTTCCAAGGCAAGTGCGAGTGTATTGCTGCTGCATTCCTGAAATGCGCCCACGGGAATCTTAAATCGATACACAAATTCCCTATTCCCAAGAGCAAAAACCACAATGAGACGGCCCACCGCCATAATACTTTTCTTGACTTGCACCGTAGTAACGGCCCAGCTCAGATCCCTCCCCGTCCAACGCTCCGGCCTCAACGGATACGCACCCCGCTTCTTCCGCCAGAAACCCATCATAGAACCCGTAGACCCCGCCCCCGGTCCAGCCATGCCACCGCCGCCGCCCTCAGACCCCCCCTCCTCCTCCGGCCCGGGCCAAGGCGGCGGAGGAGAAGGCGTGAGGCTCTCCGACGTAATGGGCCGCGACCGGAGCATCAACGTCTTCGCCGGCTTCACGCGCGACATCGAGTCCGCCTCGCGCCGCCTCGACGACCAAGGGCGCAACACCACCGTGCTGGCGCCCCTCAACTCGGCTGTCGAGAGGCTGCCGCGGAAGCCGTGGGAGGATCCTCGCGACTACCAGCAGCTCGGCGCCGACGCCTACGAGGGCGACGACGGCAGGGATAAAGCGCAGAGGAATATTCAGCGGTTCGTCGAGGCGCATATGGTTGGCGTGAGCCCGTGGCCCGAGAAGACGAAGGCCAAGACGATTGGCGATGATAGGGATGTGTGGTGGGAGACCAAGGATGGTGTCAAGTTTGTAAGTGGATATCACGCTGCCCCTTTTGGTTTTTCGTTTTCAGATATTTTGAGGTTGGGAAACTTACAGATGGTATAGATTCAACCTGGCAATATCGAGGTTGTAAGTGTAGCGAGTACTGTTGCCAATGGCGAAGTGGTATGTGACCCCAATGCTTTCTTTAACAACCCGTACGATTCACCTTGTCGGACTGGGAGTAACATCGCAAATAGTGGATTATCAAGGAGGTGCGGAACTATGCCTAATGAGTGAGAGCCTGCTGGAGTGGCCGCCTCGATACCCTCTATAGGATGCAAATTTGTTTGTTATCATCACCAAGGCCCGTGGCGTGGCGGGGAATGTCAGCTCGTTCTGAATTGCCTCACTCCCATGGGTCGCGGGTTCGAGTCCCGTTTTCTACTTGTAAAAATCCTTGCATCGTTACACCTGAGGCTGGTAAGAGTCTCTTTGGATCTTTCGTAGGCTCCCTATAGGGAGCTGAGCTTTTGCTGGGCTGTTGCGTTTTGCTTTTGATTAATGAATTGGCAATTGAAGCGTGGATGAATGAGTAGATGGATGATTCACGAAGAACCGTAAACGAATACCCAAACTGCATAGTGGAATACAAGACACATAATATTTCTTACTTTTCTAGGGCACCTATATAGTAACGACGAGGAAACTGAACCGAGTGGTACTCATGCTACGCCTAGCAGAAACATCAATTCTGAATGTAGAAAGAGCTCACAAGGGAGCTATCTGAGAGACCAGTGACTGTACGAACCCAGCTCAACGCCTCTCTGCCTGTCTACACCGTGATCCGAAAACCTAGAGCTCGAGGTTTTCATATTAGTTAACCCATCCAGGTGAGGGCAACATCTCGTCCAGTTCAACGGAATTGGAATAATAATGTAACGATGAAGACACCAAATTTGCAATGGTGAAACGGTTTAGCCGGTCTATAAGTGACCGCAGAGGCGCAAAAAGAATACTCACAATCTCAACTTTACAGGTTTAACAAGAAGCTGTCGGGTGCAACCGCTATTCCCATTCGGATACAGGTAAAAAGTGGGCCGGAGAGATAAGATTGTTATCTTCACGTGATGTGCGGAAGAAGCCGCACCTGGGGGCTTCATTCCAATCAGCCGCGAAGGGGTTTGTGCAGCAGCTTCCAAGCTTGGAGACCACTACGAATTTTCCCTACGTGACGTCCTCATAGATCTACGATACTGTAATCTGAGATAAGACGTTGAATCCTCATGTAGACATCATACCATTGGTAGCATCAGTCTGTAAGTGTCTTCAATTGCAACACGATCCTCGCTCGCAGAGGACTGGCGGGCGACGCAAAGCTTGCGCGGTTGCAGAGTCCAGCCACCCCCCTCAGACTCTTCAGGCGCAACTGAGGACAACCCCTCTCTACCCTACCTCCCCTCTTCTCTATATGCCAACGCGTCGCTAACGTTCGGAGTGGAAGAGGACGATCGATCTCAGGATGATGAGCGGGAAACCCGCTGACGAGGTGGACGCCTACGAGCGCGAGGCCGAAAATCGTCGCCGCCTCCAAGAAGCCGAAGAAATGGAACGACGCGAACAAGAACAAGCCGAGAGACGCCGCAGAGACGGCTACCCCCCTGGCCCTCCCCATCACAGCAATGCTGGCTCTATCCCCATACACCAGCCCGTAGCATCTCGCGCGATGGGCGCAATCCACAGCCCCGGCGGCCTGCTCGCAAACCACGGCTCAGGCTCGTCCGGGCCTCCCATGCCTCTCGGTGCTCCCTCGGGGCCTGGCGCGAACTTCGGCGGCCCCCTTCAACCCGATAACAGTAGACCTCCGCCGCACGGGGGCCCGAACAACCCCAATACCCAGCACCAGATGTTCGCGCCGATCCCGCACACGACCGTCCCCCCCAGTAACTCCCTAGGCGCTGCCAGTGGTGGTCCACCTGTTTTCGGGGGGCCGCTACAGCAGCGCGAGGGCCAACCTCCGATGCAACAAGGGCCTCCTTTCGGTGGCAGTGGTGGAAATACTGGCGGCGCTGCCCCCGGTGCCGCTGGCGGTCAAAGTCAAGGGCCGCCCGGTCAGCAAGGCCAAGGAGGCATTGCGCAAGGCCAACAACCCATCTTGAACGTAAGTTGAAATAAGTCATTTGTAAACTTGCCAGATGAAGAAGGAGGCAGCCGCGACCCTTTGCCGATGCTCTTGCCTGTGGCTGGACGCATCCAAAGTGGAAACCGATGTGGGCTGGTGCGCCGATACGGCGCATGTTGCCCAGGCAGGATGCAGTGCCGCCCCGCGTGCATATTCCGTCCTTCCATCTCGCTACGTCCATTTGCGCATCGCCTTGTCTTCATCATCTACCCAGTTCCCCCCCCAGAACCATGCGCATCAAATCCTCCTCTCTGTAGCCTGCAAACCAAATGCAACCGCGGTCATGGATACGCCAATCATGGTCAAAGTAAAGCTTGGTTTTGGGTTAAATTGTTTTGTTTGTCGTTGGCCAGAGCTAACTATGAATGGTAGGATGCCTTGACGTATCTTGACCAGGTCAAGGTACAGTTCCACGACCAGCCAGACGTGTACAATCGGTTCCTCGACATTATGAAAGACTTTAAAAGCCAGGCGTATGTGATTGATCCGTTGTTCAGGTGACACAACTGACCAAAGCAGCATTGACACCCCCGGGGTCATCAATCGCGTCTCGGAGTTATTCGCTGGTCATCCGAACCTAATCCAGGGCTTCAATACCTTCCTGCCACCAGGATACCGGATTGAATGCGGTGCTGGCAACGACCCTAACACCATCAGGGTCACCACCCCTATGGGTACAACTGTTCAGTCCATTGCCGGCCGAGGAACGCAGGTTGAAGGCCACCCACACCCTAACGGTGCATCTCAGCCGCTCTTCCCTCAGCGCGGAAACAATTGGCAGCAGCAGCAGCAGCAGCAACAGCCTCAGCAACAACAGCAACCGCCGCCCCCCCAGCAACCACAACACAGCATCGAGAGCCCTGAAGCGAACTTTAGTGCTCCTGCATTTATGAACCAAGGCCACGTCGCGCCTTTCGACGGTCCTGGTGGAAGTCAGCAGCGTGGTCCTCCGGCGCAAGGCGCTACCCACGCGAACAACGCGCAGCAGCCTCCTCGCAATGCGCAGACCCCTACTCCGGTAACGGGACCCGCAAATCTGAACGGCGCGACCAACCAGCAACAACAACAGGCAAACCTGGAGCGCCGTGGGCCGGTAGAGTTCAACCATGCCATCAGCTACGTGAACAAAATCAAGGTCAGTCTAACTGGACTTTTTTCTTTCTATACATATCCCGCTTCAGTCTGAGGCCTCGCGCACTAACCACGCCGCAGAATCGCTTTCAGGATAAGCCTGAGATTTACAAACAATTCCTTGAAATTCTCCAGACTTATCAGCGCGAACAAAAGCCAATCCAGGACGTGTACGCCCAAGTCACGACTTTGTTCCACACTGCACCTGATCTACTCGAAGATTTCAAGCAGTTTTTGCCCGAATCTGCTGGACAAGGAGGAAAGGGAACACCCGGACGGCCTGGCGATGAGCTTCCGCCCGGCCCTGGCCCTAACCAAACACCTCAGCCGACTATGAGTGGCCAGAAGATGCCTCCCTTGGGAAGCTTCGCTCCTCCAAGTGCCTCCAAGGAGAACAACAAGAAGCGACCTAGAACTGACAAGCAGACGCCCGTTCCTGCGCCGCCCATCGTGGAGGCTGCTGTCTCAGCCAACCGAGCTGTCACTGGCGCCCCTCCTCCTGCGGCCGTCAACAATAAGCGAACCAAGATGTCTCACAACAAGGCGCTGGCTTCCGATGCCCCCGCGGTCGAGCCGACATTGACGCCGATATTGCCAGAGCCTTTGGGACCTCCTGCGTCGACCACCTCGAACTCTGACGAGATCGCCTTCTTCGAGAAGGTCAAGAAGTACCTCAGCAACAAGACGTCTTTCAACGAGTTTCTCAAAGTCTGCAACTTGTTCAGTCAATCCATCATCGACCGCAACACAGTGTTTCACAAGGGCAGCGTCTTCTTTGCCGCAAATCCTGAGCTGTTAGGTTTCTGGAAGGCGTTTCTCAAGTACGAGCCGCATGACGAAATTGTCGATAACAGACCCGCGCCTCCTAGCGGCAAAGTTTCATTGAGCAACTGCCGAGGCTATGGGCCTAGTTATCGTCTTCTTCCCAAGAGGGTATGTCAGCCAGATTTGTGTCATATTTGCACTCACTAACCATCAACCAGGAGCGCCTCAAGCCTTGCAGCGGCCGCGATGAACTCTGCAATTCCGTGCTGAACGACGACTGGGCGTCGCATCCAACCTGGGCTTCCGAAGATTCCGGATTCGTCGCTCATCGTAAGAACGGCTTCGAAGAGGGATTGCATCGCATCGAGGAAGAACGCCACGACTACGATTTCAACATTGAGGCAAACCTCAAGTGCATCCAGCTCTTGGAGCCTGTCGCCCAGCAAATCAGCGTCATGTCGCCTTTGGAGAGAGAGCACTTCCAGATGCCACAGGCCCTGGCTGGACACAGTACCTCGGTTTTCAAGCGTGTCTGCAAGAAGATTTATGGCGAAAAGGGTCCTGAAGTCGTCAACGACTTGTTCAGCAACCCGCTGAATGTGGTCCCGATTGTGTTGACCAGAATGAAGCAAAAGGATGAGGAATGGCGCTTCTCACAGCGTGAGTGGGAGAAGGTGTGGCATGCTCAAGTTGAGCACATGCACCTCAAGAGTCTCGACCATATGGGCATCCTCGTCAAGCAGACCGACAAGAGGAACCTCTCAGCTAAACACCTTGTCGACGTCATCAAGACGAAGGCCGAGGAGCAGAGGCGCCAGCGCAGTTTGAAGGGCAAAGCCCCGCGTCATCAGCTGGTTTGGGACTTCAACGACAAAAAGGTTGTCGTCGAGCTGCTTCGTCTGATGATGCTCTACACTGTCAGCAGCGGTCAGCACAGCGTGCCAGAGAAGGAACGCATTGCCGACTTCTTCGAGACATTCATCCCTGCATTCTTCGATATTCCCGAGGAAGAGTTGGAGGGTCGTTTGCCGAGGCTGCAAGATGTATCCGAAGAGGATGAGACTGAAGAGGCCGTCCCTACCGAACTCACCAACGGCCGCAGCCGCCGTGCTGGCAGAAGGGGCGATTTACTCCGTGGCGTGCTTGATCCTGGCCGCAACGGTTCTAAGCCGCGCGCGCAAAAGGAGGGAAGCGCGGCATCCGGCAGCAAAGAGA